AAGAAAAATGGACGCAGAATTAAGCAAACTGCTAAGTGTAAACTCGGTTGGCCTCAGGTTCTCCCTCAAGGTCAACACAAAAAGTCGCACAGCATCCTCCACACAGTCATGCCGTGCATAGCTTGAAATCATGGAATTGCAAACAGCTGAATCCCACCAATCTAGTTCTTCAAAGAGCCGGATTGCATCCTCCAATCTGTTGCACTTGGAGAACAGATCAATAGCAGCACTTGATACAATGCTGTTAGATAAGAATCCCACCTTCAAGCAGAAAGCAAATATTTGCTTACCCTTCTCCAAATTAGGAAAGTTACAACAAACATTGATAACAGATGATATTGTATACTCATCAGGTGAATGCTTGGTGCTTCTCATCTGAAAGAACTGATCTAGTGCCAGCTCTGCATACCCTGATCTATTACAAGCCGATATCAAAGAATTCCATGAGATAATATCCACATCCTCCATAGTGAAAAACACACCAAAAGCATAATCCACACATCCGAGCTTTCCATACATGTCAATCAAAGAATTCCCGAGTATCAAATTTGATAAATTCATACCATTCCTAATCATACCACCATGAATTTGCTTACCATGACAAGAACACGTCACAAGCGACATTACAATTGAGAATGTGTACTCACTTGGTCTCATACCCGCGATTTGCATTTTTGAGAAAAGGCAGAATGCATTATCAAAAAACCCACCTGAAACACAACCTGAAATCATCGAGTTCCAACTAACTACATCTCTAACAGGCATTTCAGCGAACATTCTGTGTGCCCTTTGAAGCTCACCAAATCGACAGAAGCCTTTCAAGCAAATGTTCCAAGACACAATATTCTTATCGGTAATCTCATCAAACACTTTCAATGCATCGTACAGGGTGTTACTAAACCGAAAGTAAACATCGAGACAACGGTTACCCAGAAAGGTATGGCTGTTAAACCCCACTTTTATCAATTGGGCATGTATAACTTTGGCGAAATTTAAAGACTTTAGTGACAAACAGTGATCTATTAGATGAGAATAATAGGAGAGTGGGGTTTTATGAAGCCCGTGAAGTTGCTTAGAAAATGAGTGCATGCAAACTCAGTGCTTCTATGAAATACAGAACTTGTTGCTTCTGAGCAATGCAGTGTTTAAGCAGTGATACGGTACCGTTGTGCACGTGATTTTGCTGCTGGGTCTGCTTCTTCTTGTTCCATCGACGTAGCTACCAATCGGGAACGAACCAATTGGGAACGCCTTGAATGTGAAAAGCATTAACACTTTTAACGGTGAGTTTCCCTCCAGCGGAAGCAAAGCAGAGTCTTGCCTCCGGTTTTGTCAAGTTTGGGTCGCCGTACTTTTTTGAGATATTTATTCAAAAACCCATCTGATCAAATTTGGGTCCAAAAGTAGACGGTTCACTAGACTTTTTTCGGTAAAGGGAATAGGCTCACTGTCTTAACGCCTAACCAATCTCTTACATATTCGCTTCGTCTTCAGCACCAGGGAAATCATTTATGATCTCTAAGTGTGTCATTTAAATATTGAATGGAACACTGATGTTGATTAAGCAAGAAGTATATATCATTGGCGGGAGCTCCACATCATGTTGCTTTACATATGTTAACCATAATTTGATAGATAAGATTTGAAGATGCATATGTAGGAGCAGAGGTGACAATGTTGTCTAGCCTATATTGACCTCCTGCTGCCTATGATAATTCGTTAACAAGATTGAGAAATTTGCAGAACAAGAAAAGTGAGCAGTTATCAGAAGGTGGAAATTAGTACAATAAGAGTTCCAACTCAAAACCAATTGATAATTAATTGGACCCTCATACATAAGATAACAGAAGATTTTACCAAACCCTATAAAGACTTCTGATAGGAGAAAACAAAACAAACCAAAAGGCACAATCCATCAAATACTTACATGGGTGAAGGACCTTGTCCAAGACTCCAAGAAAAATGATGGTGTCGCCCCTACTTAAAATGTCGCCCCCCCTTCGGACACCATTGACAGTGAGCCTAAGCTCATGCAGACTATGGTCCTTGGTAGCATCATAAGCAATGACAACAAGGGATGGTGTACTAGGACGAGCCATGGACAATGGAGTCTTGGATCAATTTCGAATGATTTTTTTATGTTTTGGTCGTAAAAATGCTATATAAAGGAAACTTGATCAAATGGGCTTGTAGTAGAAGTTTGAAGGAGCGCGGAGTTAAACCCATTGTAGATTATGATTGGTCGTCCAATGCTATGCTTTGGTGAGAATTCTGAAAAAAAAACCTTTTTTTTGCCCCCCTTCAAACCCTAAATTTTCAAGCGCATCAGAAAGAGAAGATTCTCAATACCAAAAAAGATATGCTAAGAGCACTCTTAATTGTACCGATAAAAATCAAGGGAATTTGCCTTCTTCAATAGGGCCAAGCAGATTATTACAAGGACTTGGGGACTATATTGGCTTATGTTTTTTAACTGCAAGTGTTCGTTCTGCAAATTCAATGATTCTGAAACAATGGGGACAATGCTTGTATGTTATAATTTATGTCTCAGTCATGTCCTGCGGTCTTGCCAAGGGCATGCAATAAATCTTGCACAGAAAATTAAAAACATGACACATAAAACAAAAGCCATATTTTGGTGGCCTTGTGATTCACACAAATGTCCCCAGGTCTTGAGTTCGAGTGACTGCGTAAAAAGAACATAGAAAAGAAAAAGCTAAAAGAAGAAAACCAAAACCTATAATATTTCATGATCATTGGTTTTGCTGGAAATACTACTGTTGCCTATGTGAGAATGTGAATGTGAAAATGTCTCACATTGGAAAGTTGAGAAACCTAGCAAAGGCTTCTAAGGAGTTGGGCTGCTCCCCCATTACCAATTAGTTTTGGGGTGGAACCTCAACATCCTTCAACTCGTACCCGATATAATTTAACACACCAAACAGATAATGAGTTATTATCAATACACTTGTAGACATATGCAAAAATCTTTACCTTTTCGCTGCTATACTTGTAAATTCAAGATAACTGTTGTTTTTTGGGAATTACGATCAAAATTAACAAAGGTGGAGATGAGTCATATTACTCAAGAGTTACTGCAAGAAACCGTTTCCTCTTCATTTTAAATTAATCTTATTCTTTTCGTTAATGGATCTTCATCACTGTCCATGCTACTAGTCTTCTCTATATAGCTAGTCCCCTCAACAAGACGGCCAGTCATAGCTCAAAAACAGTATTATAAATGAGCCCGAAATGAAAAACATATAGAGAAGAAAGTTGATTTTAGGAGTGCTAAACTGATGAATTAGAATAGTTGAAGGAAAGTGTCTAAGATCAAATCCTTCTCAGGCGAAAACTTGTTTACATAAAGGCATAATTAACACCCAAAAAAGTCGACCCTATGAATGATTATACTCAACCTTTGAAGTTCAAATTTGAAGCACAGACCATCAAAGAAAAGCTAATTCTTGTGCTATCAGTGTTCTTTACCTTTTCGCTGCTATACTTGTAAATTCAAGATAACTGTTGTTTTTTGGGAATTACGATCAAAATTAACAAAGGTAGAGATGAGTCATATTACTCAAGAGTTACTGCAAGAAACCGTTTCCTCTTCATTTTAAATTAATCTTATTCTTTTCGTTAATGGATCTTCATCACTGTCCATGCTACTAGTCTTCTCTATATAGCTAGTCCCCTCAACAAGACGGCCAGTCATAGCTCAAAAACAGTATTATAAATGAGCCCGAAATGAAAAACATATAGAGAAGAAAGTTGATTTTAGGAGTGCCAAACTGATGAATTAGAATAGTTGAAGGAAAGTGTCTAAGATCAAATCCTTCTCAGGCGAAAACTTGTTTATATAAAGGCATAATTAACACCCAAAAAAGTCGACCCTATGAATGATTATACCAAACCTTTGAAGTTCAAATTTGAAGCACAGACCATCAAAGAAAAGCTAATTCTTGTGCTATCAGTGCATATATTTCTCCCCTTCCTAAATTTATGCAGTATATGAAGTCATGCAAAGTGTAAAAAAAGTGATTTCTCCTCGGAAAGTGAAAAGCTTAGGATTCAAATGGGGAGTCCAACTTTATCCGCTCTTTCTCTATTATTATATAGGAGATGTATGGATACTTGTAGCTTACATATCAAGTGCCTTATAATTCAGAAACATGAGTTTTAAATGTAGTGAAACTGTTTATAATTTATGCCAAGATGTCACTCTGTACAATTGCAGTTTCTGTGTTAATCAATGTCAATAACCAGCATACCGTGTCAGCGCACATGGAAAACTTAAACAGAAAATTTGCATTTTGCAATATGGAAGAACTTATTTGGTGACAGGGGCAATATGCACATTGAATTGATGTTAAATGAACAAAAACGAATCATAAACATAGCTCTGCTCGATATATTTTTTGCTAAGTGACTGTTTAAATTGTTTTGAGGGAAAAATTTTATTTTTATTTTGGTATTTTTCATAAGGTGCGGAGCACAGAATTCAAACAAGTACATGTAACTAAGAAGGGAAAATACATTCATTTACTACTAACGAAAGGACTAAAAGTAAGGATGATGGAAGTGATTATGACAAAGGTGATGCAGTGATTATGACAAAGGTGATTCATTGCTCAAATTTGTCTCTGTTTCCTTCCTCTTAAAACTTATGCTCTGCCTTTTCTTCGTTGTATTATCTGTGATTGGTCTGACGTAAATGACAATGTAGTATTTTTCGCCTTGTAACTCATTTTTTCCAATATAAGAAGAAGCAAAGAAACTACCTGTAAAAAATTGTTCAAATATAAATCAACTCAACAGAAAACTAATAAGCATGTGAACAGAAATAAGCACATGAAATCCAGAAAATCAGAACTACAGGGGAGAGGGAGATGGAATAAGTCCATTAGTGTTACGAGATAATAAGGGGGCTTCAATGGGCAGACCTGCAGAAAGAGAAGTCATGAACTTTGTAGAATGTGTGCTTCTCTAGTATCAGACTCTCAGAAGATGTCTTCTTCAGCGATGAACTCTCCACTTTCGATCTCCACATACAGGATATGTTTTATATTATCCCAGTCGTCGCCTTTCTCCTTCTCCAGTTGTTTCTCTAATTGAGGGCACCTTCTGATGACCAACTTTTTGAGACTGATAGGTATATATGGTAATGAATGCAACACGGGACAACGCTCAATGACCAACTCCTCAAGCAAACAAAGGTGTTGCATAATGTCTGGGACATAAGCCAATTTTTCACACCCCACAATATCAAACTTTTTGAGTGAAGCAAGGTACCTCAGCTCCATAGGCAAGGATTCCAATTTTTTACAGTATAGAATACTCAAATGTTCAAGGGAAGTAAATCCTCCCATGCCCTCAAACAGAGACTCCAGATTATCGCAATCATACATGGTCAGTTGCGTGATACGGTTCAAGTTCTCCGGATCCCTGGGGAAAGACTTCAGTTGTGGCATTTCATTAATAGCAAGAGTGGAAAGTGACATGAGATGGGCCAACGAGTCAAGTAGCAGTTCATTACTCTGCCACAAGGCTAAGTTTTTAAGATGTGGAATTGATGGTAAGCCAGTCAACTTGTTGCATCCTTTGACTGTTAGTGTGTCAAGACAAGGGAATGACACAGGTTTTCCAGCTATTTCGAAACCCTTCCATTCCAACAAATTCGGCATATCATAAAGCTCAAGTTGTGTCAATGCTGGGAATGCTACATCATTTGTATTAGCATTCCCATAAAACTCATAACCAATAATATGCACCGCAGACATTCCTTTTATAAAGAGATCCCTAAGGAGAGGCAGCAGCCCGAGTGGCGGAAGTTGTAGACAACTGCAGTTGATCAGAGAAACCTTTACTAGATTGATGAGGGGACAACTTTCCATCCATGTTGGAAAAATTGAACCATTGTAGCCAGATAAATCCAAAACTTCTAAAACCGGGGATGGCATCAGGCGTTCTAATACTTCAGCAGATAATTCAGCATCTACCAGATGAGCATTGCGACCCCATGATAAGCCCAAACAACGAAGCCTTAGCTTCTGAAACAGCTTTGCTTCTTGAGCCTGCGCCAAATTACTCACATTCTCAAGATTCTTAATGTCTAGTCTACCTCTAAGGTTGAGCCCACCCAGCTCAATTAGTTCAGCACAATCAGCTTTCTTACCCAATATGAATGCTGACACATTTTGAAGAAATCTTAATTTTCCAATCCCTGATGGCATGTGAGTCAAAGAACATGACCTAATAACCAGATGTCTGAGGTTCGTTAACTCACAGATAGCTTTGGGTAACTCCAGGAGATTGTAACACTCAGAGAGTTCTAAAGTCTGCAAATTTTTCAGGTTAGCAATGGACTCTGGTATTGATCTGATATATGTATGAGAGAGATCGAGGTATCTCAAATGTTTCAAAGTACCAATTGTAACTGGCAACTCACGGATGCCTCTTGAGGATAAATTTAGCACTCGTAGTCTTCGGAAATTTAGGAAAGTGATAGGGAGTGTCTTGAACTTACCAGAGAAAGAAAACAATGAGCGCAGTTTCTTTGCTACATGGATCATTTTTGGAGAAATCCCCGATTCATGAACTAAAGAGATACGACGAATGTGTTCTGAGACATGCAGTGAATTTTCATCTTCCAGGATTGAGCATTCAATCCCCGCAACATGCAAAGCAAGGTCATGCACTAAATTATGCATCCGGCACTCCACTATGTTACCATTTTCATCTACCATAGTATCCTGAAAGAAAAACCGTTGCAACAATTCCACAAAAAAATCATCAGCAACGTCCTCCAACTCCTTCCTAATGGAACTTGACTCAACAAAACCTTCTGCAATCCACAGCCTGATCAATTTTTCCTTGTTGATTGCATAGTCCTTTGGGAATACTGAACAATATGCAAAACATTGCTTTAGATGTGCTGGAAGATGATCGTAGCTCAGCTTCAAAACTGGTAAGACACCGTGTTCGAGTGAATCCCGTGCATCATTGTCCAGGATTAACAACCACTCGTGCACTTGTTTTTTGTAGGACAATAAGCTGCCCAGGGTCTTAACAGCGAGAGGCAGTCCCCCACACTTGCGAACAATTTCCATACCGATCTTTTCGAAGTCAACATTTTTATCCACAGATCCAAATGCTAAACTTTTGAAAAAATCCCAACAGTCTCTGTCAGGTAAGGCTCTTAAGTAATACAGGCCAGCACCATCTGTCATGAAATTCGCAACTCTTGCATTGCGTGTAGTTAACATAACAGCAGATCCTGAATTACCTGCACTAAACCATCTCCTCAAGATCTCCCATTCGTGCAGATTTTCACACCACACATCATCAAGCACACACAAAAATCTCTTCCCCCGCAATTCCATAGTAACAGCAGTCTCTAATGCATCCATGTTGGAAAACTTCTGTGAGCTGTGAGTTGAAACATACAGGATCGCTTCAGCAATCCTCATCAGGTCAAAATCCTCACCCACGGTAACCCAAATCCTTAAATCAAAACGCTTTTTTACTCTCTCTTCGTTGTACATGACTTGTGCAAGAGCTGTCTTTCCGATTCCTCCCATGCCTACAAGTGCGATCACACGAACTTCTTGTTGTTGCTGATGCTCCCATAATAGCATGTCTTGTATTTTCTCTTTGTCAACATCCCTTCCATAAACAGCAGATATTTCAGAGATGTAAGAAGAAGTCTGGACGTTCACATTGAGACCGGGGATCCTCTCTGTAGTTTGAGAAACAGTTGCAAGAAGGTGAAGTGCAGTCCCTCCTTTTAAGATTTCGTCAAATCTTGCTTGCAGATCCTTCATCCTGTGCTTGATTCTGTATCGGTACACATCAGACATGAGGGAAAAGCAATTGGCTACCTTGGTCGTTGTGGTAGCCTTCTTCATGGCCAATAGCTCCCAATCATCAACTAGATCGTCGGCGTTGTAAGCCACTTCTTTCAGCTCCATTAGCCACAAATGGATTGACTGGTTGCTGCCAAGAGGTTGTTCTTCCACTTGGCTAGCTAGTGCTCCCAACGAACCTAATGCATCCCGCATCTTTTTAAAGATGACGTCATAGCCAAGAGCTTCAGCAAGAGAATCCAACCGGTTAGACAGAACCTTGAGGAGAGGTGACACAACTGCATCCGCCATCGAAACAAAAAAAGGGAAAAAAACTCAAAACTCTCTTCAACAAGCTTTCACAGAGGAGATTCAGATGAACTACACACTCCCAAAGTCAAACAAAACCAAGGCTAGCTGGCCGGTTTCTTTGTTTTCATCCATACACATACATATATACACAAGCATTTTCTCTTTGTAGTGTTTCCCTATCACCAAAAGGCAGGATTCAAAGTTTTATTCCAACTCTGTGGAGGGTAATACAAAGTTTTTGTAACACTACCCACACAATGCAAAGACAGCCCACTTAAAACAAAAGGCCAAATGTATGAATTTATCATCTCTATGTGCCAACAAATTCCAAAGTATAAACAAATATGAGAGATGCAGAAAGACATAGAGACAGAGACAGTGAGGGAGAGCGACAGATAAACCTATGAGATTTTGGATATGTTGTGGGCAGGGGCGGATCCACATAGGGGCAAGAGGGGTCACCCCTGCAAGCCCGGAATTCACCATTGAAGGCGAAGACTTTCAACATTTAAGTAAATGTCTTATTGTCCTTTTACTTTCATTTAATTTTATATTACTCAATTTACTTAAGTTTACAATGTAAATAAGGAAGTACCCCCCATTTGGAATCAAATAAAAATACTAGAAAATCAAATTCCCACCAAATCAAAATATGAAAAATCGGTTTTAGTGCAAAATACGATTTAGGCTAAAAATTATGGCTCATTAAGTCAATATATACTTCATACTAAAATCTCATAAAATCAAGTTTTCTTATTTGATGTGCAAGGAATAAAAGCCGCCAAAAATTATCTTGAGAAAATGATTATTCCAAAAAACCATTTTTCATACTTAGCCAATATTTTTACACAAAACAATTTTTCATGTATGATATGAATCATAAAGGGACCTAAGGTCAATCTAGGTAAAAAGCCTTAGATGTTCAATCCACAAAGAGTTTTATAAGAATAACCTAACTCTTGCGTATTGAAGAAATATTTACTTAAATAAGCTTCCTAAAAGCCGCCAAAAATTATCTTGAGAAAATGATTATTCCAAAAAACCATTTTTCATACTTAGCCAATATTTTTACACAAAAAAATTTTCCATGTATGATATGAATGCATAAAGGGACCTAAGGTCAATCTAGGTAAAAAGCCTTAGATGTTCCATCCACAAAGAGTTTTACAAGAATAACCTAACTCTTGCGTATTGAAGAAATATTTACTTAAATAAGCTTCCCCTAAGACAGTACTTATAAGGGTCCAAAGTTTGAGAGCCAGAACCCAAAAAAAATGCAAATAAAGTCCAAAATCAAAACGACGACGGACCTCAAAAATGACGTAAATGCCCTACAATGAGTAGGATTAAGCTAATATATGCCAGTTCTTATGTCGAATAGGATGAGACACCTTGGGAGGCGAAGAGGATTGCGCTAATTTTTTGGTTTATTATCACATTCTTAGAGATATTTCTGGTGTATTGCAATGTGTGTCTATTTATTGAAGTTGATGCAGTTCTCTTTGATAATGAACATGAGTATTTTGTATGGTTTTATCTATTAACTATGAATTAGAGTATTATCGTTTTATTTTGATGGGTCTATTTTGTATAGAATTTCTTTTAACCTTTTACACGTTGACCCCGAAATGAAAATTCCTGGATCCGCCACTGGTTGTGGGCACTGTGATTATTCCTCCATTGGAATGGTGGTGAATAGTTCCCACAAGTTGAGCACTGTGTTATAGGGATTCTCGAGGCACATACCGCTGTCATGACACCCGCGAAGGGAAGGGAAAGCGTGTAAAATCTCCAGAGAAATAATTGGGTTTAAATAAAGCTACCCCTGGAAAGGATCCGCCACTGATTGTGGGCACTGTGATTATTCCTCCATTGGAATGTGGTGAATAGTTCCCACAAGTTGAGCACTGTGTTATAGGGATTCTCGAGGCACATACCGCTGTCATGACACCTGCGAAGGGAAAGTGTGTAAAATCTCCAGAGATATAATTGGGTTTAAATAAAGCTACCCCTGGAAGAAAAAAAATCCATGGTGATTAAACAATATCCAACTTAGTTGAAAACAATGTCTTATCGAATGATGACAATCTAATTTTAGATTTTTTAATAATTGATTATTACTCTTCAAATAAGGAGGCCAAAACAATTGAAGATCATAATAGGATAGAACTCTAGTCTTAGATGGGAGAGGGGGTAAATGTTTTTAAATATAGGGAGAGGGGGGAAAAAACTTGACATTGAAAGTCATGTTTTCATGCTTGGGCTCGTTTGGTGCCTAGGATTGGACTGGATTAGATAAGTCACTAAATCTAAGGTATGTTGAAGGAGGAAATGAAGGTAGAGGTGAATGACTTTCCATGTTGGCGGGGATTAAGAGGGATTATTTATAAGGTGGTGCTATCCTACTGTCAGCTTTCCATGAGTAATTGATCTTCTACTTTTAACATGGTAAAATAAAAATTCATTTCTTCTTGAAACATGCTTTAAATATAGGGAGTATCCAATCCAATACTAGTCATCAAACGAGCCCAAAGCATCAAATTACTTCAACTTACCTGGTGGTGGTGGAGCTGTCTAGCTCTTAATTAATTTCCTTGCAATTGTTGCGTCGTTTCTTGCGCTTTCATGTTATTTGTAGTTTTCTTAGTTTGTATTGCATGCCATTGCCCTTGCCGCCTTGAGTTGGGGCTTCTTCCCATCAGGCTTTTGCTTTTCTTGTGTCCCTGTCTGTCCCTTGTGGGAAGCTTCGGTTTCTTGGGCTGCCTATATCCATTGTTTTTATTCTTTTTTGCCAGATCCATTGTTTTGTTTACTAAAGGGAATATATAAATAAATAAATTGTCTGCTTGCATTTGACAACTCCTTTGACGATGCTCTAAGGGTTGATGGATTGGGACTTTGTATCAAAACCCTATTCAAACCTGACGTGCCAGTTGACCGTAGCCTAGGCATGAACCTAAGAACTTTTTTTAACTCTTTTTTCTTTTTTGGTCATATTGGTGCCTCATCCTATCCCCCCTTTCTCTTCTAAGGTGCAAAGTATGTAAGTCATATGCTGCGGTTGGTTACAGATTCAGTACTGCTTTCATTTGAAGAGGAGGAAAGGCATCAGATTCACAGCTGCAAGCCTTCAACAACTTGGGCAGAAGGTCTTCTCAGAACTTGATACAATATCAGCAAACTGGGCAAGTGTTTGAGAGTTTCTGGTTATAGTCAAATTTCTGTCCATATGGATTTCTTTATATTTATGTTTACTAATTTGATTTTAATGCATTGGTTTGATTAAAATTTGGATATAACTTGTATTCAAAAAAATTTATATAACTTTGTTCTCCAGTTTCTGTGGGATCTGCCATGCATACAACTGTTCTACTGTTAATTCATGAAATGTCGACAGTCAAAAAGTCTATTTGGGTTCCTGCAGTTTGCCGGATTTTCCAGTTTGGTCCCTTCAATTCTGGCAATTTGACTCTGTAGTTTGATATTCCAACCCCACCCAAGTTTTCTTTTGGGTCTATTTGCAGGTGTTCTGCGGAAGCTCCTAACAGGTTTTGGTTGCCTAGGATTTTGGGTTTAGGGTGTCTCTCTCAGTGCTGCTTAATATTAGAAATGTCTTTTATTTTTTGGGTTTTAATTTTCTTTACCATTGCCTTTTACTTAAGGACACTTTCTGTCATATTTCATGACGGGGTAAGTACGTGTCTCCGACGTGGAGGGGTATTTTGGACGGAATCAGATGGAATTTGACAGTATCTGTAATGTGTCCTAGAAATGCAAGGGGTTTGAAACTACAGGATAAAATTGGCAGAATTGAAACTACGCGGACCAAAATTTACTTGTTGCCTTTTTTTTTCAGTGCAAAGTTGATTCAAGGTGCCAGATATATTGAAAGAAAAAATATTGCCGTTGTAAGCAAAAGTAAATTCAATAAACATGATAGTAATCCTCAGTCCAAAGCTGAAAACTTAGGTATTTATCAAAACAAGTTCTAGCTGATGGCTTTGATTATAGATTCGGATTGATAATGGATGAGTAAAAGGTATCATTTGCTACATGAAGAATGAAATTTCTTAAGAAAATTTGAAAATTTGGTGTAATTCGTTTTATTTATTTATTAAACATGACTTTTTGTGTAGCTTACTCTAGCTATTGTTTATTTAGAGTTTGTTTTTGCAAATTTGAGAGCCCTTGTCTTAACTATTCACCAAATTAGCTATGATTCTAGTGGTATTTCTCTTCTCAATATTGAACAAGGTCCCGTGTTCGAATTCCCCCCTCTGTCATTGAAAAAAGAAAAAAGAAAAAATTATATGCTCCTTTCTTATATGTTCATTGCTCTATGTGGCAGTTGGTTTTTGAACTTCCCCCTATAAGATTCCTTACTCTTTGTTCTGAACTTTCTCAGCTAGCTAGCATGGAGCTTAAGAGGCTAAATCCAGCTTCACATTTAGTTTATCGCTGTCAGCCAATTGGCAGGCTGAAACGGCTTGAAAGGAATTTCGAATTGCTTATACAAATAACTGAATGTTTGTATAGCATGAGGGATACTATCAACGAGGAGGTAACCAAAGAACTGATGTGGGGTAAGGCACCAACCTTGAAATGCAAAAAATGGCTTGAAAAGGTGGGAGAAATTGAAGATCAAGTGAATGACATGTTGAAGATACAGGAGACGAGTTCTGACCTTGTGATTCACTCGCACGTCGGTCTACATCAGCATCTGATGAGTATGCTCAATAAGATTACTGATCACTTGGAGAAATCTCCGGGTGCACATGGTTCAATGGCTTATGTACCTCCTGGACAGAGTAAAACAATAACTAGTCCAATACTTCATGGTGAGGCATATGGACTGGTACCACCGGATAACAAGAATGTGAACTTGCAAAGGAGAGCAGAAGCAAAAGGAGAAGCAAATGTGGAGATTGAAATGTCACCAACACAAGGGAAGGAAGCCGTGAAGGGTAAAGAAATACAAGAAGGTAAATATCTTGAGACCCAAGCAACAGCATCAAGAGCTGCATCCAAATTCTATAGAAAGAGCCTGCTGGGGTTTAAATTTGGGGGAGCAACCACTGAAATAGGTAAACCACAAACAGAGAACAAACGGCTTCAGGCGGGGGCTATATTGAAAAAAGATTTTAAGAAATCAAGCAAGACCATCAATCAGACAGAAGTTGATAATAATACTCCTTTGCAAAATGACGGACGTGAGGCACTGCTTGAATGGGGAGTTCATAGCAGATCAATTGAGCGGATGCTGCACGAAATCTTGGGATGCATGAATAGTGTCACAATTATTAGAATTGCCATTTATGGAATGGGTGGGATTGGCAAGACTACTGTGCTGAAAGCCTTGGCCAATCATGTTGAAAGAAAAAGCATGTTTGATAAGGTCATTTTGGTGACTGTCTCAAAACATTGGAGCACAAGAAAGATTCAAAATGAAATTTTAAGACAGTTATCAATGTGTGTACCGGATTCTGAAACTGATTCCAGAGTTGCAGAAAAACTACTTCAAGTTTTAAATAGCAGGAAGTTTTTGCTTCTTCTGGACGATGTTTGGGAGTGTTTAGATTTAAAAGCAGTGGGCATTCCTCATTTGAGCTCAGGAAATGGTTTTAAGATGATACTGGCTACCAGAATACGGGCTGTTTGCAATGAAATGGTTGTGAATAGGGTTATTGAAATGGAAACTGTCTCTAGAGAAGAAGCTTGGGAGTTGTTCTGTGAGCAGGTGGGTGCAGTCGTTGATTTGCCATGTGTCCAACCTTATGCTCGAGCCATTGTTGAGGAGTGTGGGGGTTTGCCGTTATTGATCATTGTCACCGGAAGAGCCCTGACAGGTGTAAATGATGCTTTAGTGTGGAAGCATGCATTGAGCGAACTTTTATTACCCAGCACAAATGCTGCATATGACACTGAAGCTGTTATGCATCGAATGAAATTCAGTTATGACAGATTAAGGGATTGTGACATAAAGAGTTGCTTCCTTTATTGCGCTTTTCTTTCAGAAGATCAGGAGGTTAATATTTACGAGCTGGTGAAATATTGTATCCAAGAAGGTTTGATTTCTGGGAATTGGGATGATGCATGTAAGAGGGGGCATGAGATAGTTGACATTCTTGTAGGTGCCTCCCTATTGCAGAGTACCAAGGGCGGTCTTTCCATCAAAATGCACGCTATGGTTAGAGATTTAGCATCAATGATCATATTATCGAAGGCAGAACGTTTGCAGTTTCTGCTAAGACCTTATTTATTGTACAGGCCACTTGAAAGCGCTGAAAGCAATAGATTGTTAATTGATGGAGGTTGTCAGTTCTTGTTGAAAGGTGGTGCAGGTCTGAGGGAGTCACTACCAGCAGAGAAATGGGAACAAGCCAAGATGATAGCTTTGATGGATAATGAGTTATCTAGTCTACCTGAAAATCCATGCTGCCCTGATCTTTTAATTTTGTTCCTTCAAAGGAACAGATGTCTAAGAGTGATCCCAGCAGCCTTTTTTGATCACATGCCTTCTCTCGAAGTGTTGAACCTATCTAATACCAGAATCAAGTTCTTGCCACAGTCAATCTCGAATCTGAAAAGGCTTAAAATTCTTATTTTACGCAATTGTGAGCGCTTAGTTGTGCTCCCATCGGAGGTTGGATCACTTGGAGACCTTGAGGTGCTCGATCTCCGAGGCACTGAAGTTGACAAATTACCCGATGAGATAGGTAGTTTGACTTCTCTAAGACACTTGGAAGTATCCTTTTATGGATCTATCAGCCCCAATGAGTATGCTAAGTTGCCCCATCAATTGATTTCACCTGGAATAATATCAAAGCTTATTTCTTTGGAGACATTAAGTATTGATGTATACCCTGGAGATCAGAGGTGGAAGAAGAGCTTGGAATCCATCACAAAAGAGGTTTGTAGCTTGACAAAGTTGACTGCTCTCTGTTTCAGTTTCCCAGAAGTGGAGCTCCTACAACTCTTTCTTCAAACCTGTACCAGATGGAAAAACGAACTCTTAACTATGTTCAAATTTGTGGTTGGTGATGACGTCAAGCGTATCGTGTCTCGGGTCCCAAACTTTGTGGTGCTAGATTATAATCAGCAGGGCCAATGCTTGAGATTTGTTAACGGTGAGAGGGTGCCTGATGTGGTTGTTGAAGTATTAGCTCGTACTGTTGCCTTCTATTTGGATCATCACCTTAGCATCTGCAGCTTATCCGAGTTTGGGGTTAGTAATATGAGCGGGCTGAAATTATGTATATTGAGTGAATGTCCTCAAATTCACTCAATCATTGATGGCACAGAACCAACTAATCCTGCATTTCCCTCTTTGGAGTATTTGAGTGTTCATTACTTGCCCAACTTGGAGAATATTTGGGAGGGCGTTAGACCTTTACCGTTTGGAAGTTTCACTAAGCTTAGAATTCTGCTGGTGTATGCATGTCCAAAGCTGAAAAATGTTTTTACAACAAGCATGCTATCATGTGTCTCTAATCTGGAAGAGTTGTTGGTTGAAGATTGCCCAGCCATTGAAGTGATCACACTTGAGGATGAGAGCATGGATTCTGGAACTGTTAGACTCTTGAGATTGAAAAGGTTGACACTAAACCATCTTCCTCGATTGGCTAACATTTCGGAAGGCGCTTGGCCCTCGTTAGAGTATATTAGCTTGCATGGCTGTCCTAATTGGAAGACCATTGCTATGAACTCAAAAGTTGAGGTAAACTGTAAAGAAGATTAAAGCAGAGAAGCATTGGTGCATTTCGATTATGATTGCTCTGGATCTTAAAGCTCGCTTCGCCTGTCTCCAAAGGATGAATTCCAGTGGTATTATGGTTTTGGATCTTAAAGCTGGTTTCACCCTTGTCCATAGTTGATGTATATAGAACAAAGCCTTTCATACTGTCAAATAAAATTCAAAATTGTTGAAATTAATGCACATTTTTAAATCAACAATGTTAATTAGCCTTCCATGCAATCAATGACATTATGACAGTGTTAAGTGAAGTGGATAACACTGAAACCTGTTTGAGACCAAGTGGCAATTGCAAGAGAGGCTCAAGATATTTGAAGCACTTCCATTATTCAATGCAAGACTACCATTCTCTAATACCAGATAGTCTCAAAGGTTTTGCCGTAACTTTGTTTTGGATTTAAGAATGTTAACCTGTCGGGGAACCGAAAGGAAAAATAAACAAGGACATGCAATGCAAAGTACTCATACAGTGGTGTTGCTCACTTAACAGCCATATATTCCAGTTAACCTGAATGCTGCATCTGATGCACAGTTTCCACATGATGGATCAAACTATCTTCAAACAGTAAACAATTTCTGCTTTACCGTTATTGCCACAACCACAAAGACAAAAATCATTCCAGCATAATGTGGATCATCACTTGTTTTTAAAAGCAAGTCCAGATAGCATGCCAATGAGAATCTAAATCATCACCAGTGAAATGGGAAATAGCTGACAGTAAAGTCAATCAGACCACAAGAACTTGTACTCGCCCTGACCGACAACACGAAGAGTTCTCTCATTCATCATTGAACACAATAAATATTATTCAAACATTAACCAGCAGATTGTTGTGAAGATTACATGTTAATGCAGATTATAATCAACAAAGTTCTTTCACTTGACAACAGGGAAAAAAAAAGTACAAGATTACAAAACAAACATACAAGTTCTTCACTTGACTTTATTCGAAGTAGTTCAGCTTATTTGATTGGTTGTGAGAGAGAGGTCATTGGTGATAACTCAAACAGAAACAAACATACATTGAAAACGATCTTTAATTGCAGGGTCACTTGGCCAGTTCAACTCATTCTCCCAGTCACTGGTGCATCTGATCCTTCTCAATTTAATCGCGTTTGCCATGGTCGATGGTAAATCCTTCAGCATCACACACTCCCTGATCTCTATTGTTTCCAACGAGGGCCACTCCCATGAGACTTCGCTCCAAATAGTACACAGTTTCGGTAAGTTCCGGAGTTCTATAGTCTTCAATTTAGGGAGTGCCGCTGATACATCACTTCCAGTTTCAATTATCTCTTTCATCTCAAGACAGTGCTCAACTTCCAAATATTGTAGCTGACCGAGTTGTTGGACAATCCCATGTGCCTTTGAGAATAGATTTTCTAGACTTGGACAATCTTTTAGTATCAGTGTCGTGAGCCTGGATAGGCTTTCAGGGCTCGCCAAGCCCTTCCATATATGCACCAACTTTGGAATATTTATTATGTGTAGCTGTTTTAGGAATTGAAATGCCACACCTCCTATCATGTCACCATCAATGATGCTTTCCATTTCATTGCATTCTTCAATCTTGCAAATTTCCAGTCCTCCCAACCTATCGGCTCCAAAGAGTGACAAGTTTGTCACATTTTGATGACCAATCAGCTCAAAACTGTAAGCATGTTGTAGTATCTGCAAAATGGTATCAGGAACACTTTCACCTCCAGAGAATCTCAAATGTTTTTCAGTTGAGCATTCTGAGATATCAAATTCCGAAGGATTGTTAGTTTGGTGATGACCTACGATGATGTTGAATGATCTGAAACTGTTGCCCTGTGTGTTCTCCCGATTCCATGATACACTCTGGCATATGAACGGTCTTAAGCAATCCTCACCAGGAAAGTAGAAACAAAGAGTCGTTAATTCTTCCAACCCAACTAATTCCTCCACAATTGCACCAACAATATTATTCCATTCTGTGTTATGGTGGTCAATGCCAATGCTTAGTTCTTCTAACGAAATGAGCTTTGAAACAGTGTCAGGATGAATGACCACCACTGGATTCCCTTGAAAGTGGTTGTGACTGCTAACATTCTGTTCAAATGAAACTCTCAAGCACTTGAGATTAGTGAGCTCCTGAATCTCTTTAGGGAGATTTCGAATCTTGGTGCGACTTATATCAAATATTTCAAGACTTTGGAGTTTTCCTATATCAGCTGGAATATTTTCTAACTCACCACAATCATTTAGATAGAGCCCCCTAAGTTTTATCAAGCTAGATATAGATGATGGCAGTGACATGATTCTTGTATCATGCAAATCTAGAACTCGTAAGTTTTGCATGCATGCAAAGAATGACACAGGAATTTTCGTCAAGCTCTTGTTTTCTTGGAGTAACAATGTCAGAATTCCAGAACATTGAGGTTGCTCAGGTAGGGCAGAAAGTTGATGTTGAATCAATGAGACCCTTTCTGCACATGTCCATTGTTCCTCTGTAATCTTTGCACCTTCTTTCACTAATATGCGGTGACTCCCTGCATTACACTTCGCAATACGTAGTGCAACACGCTGAAAATGCTCAAACATCTTGTAATGACGCGCCTTTCTTCCTCTGTCCAAAAGACCAACGTTTACAAATTCATCTAGGATAGTGTGACCTCTGTCGCGTGTTTCCCCTAGCCTTGCAAAACTAATTAACTGTTCTGCTCTCCAACACTCAGTTATGTAGTCTCGATGAACTTCATAACCAACAGGGAAAAGTGCCCAGTACAACAAGCATGGCTGCTTACTCTCATCTAGATCATTGTATGAAAGTTTAAATAACTGGTAGACTTCTTCCAATTCTCGACTTTGTTGCTTACTGGGGGCTTGCAACTCTAACAGTGTATCTCGCCACCTTGCTGGATCATTCACTTTTGCTAACTTTTGAGCTATCAAGTTGATCATGTGTGGCATCCCACCACACTCGTTGACTATTAAAGGTGCTAATCGAACGATTTCTTGCTTTTTCATAATATCAGCACTAACTTTCCTGTTAAATAACTTTTGGGCATCCTCCTTTGACAACTTCTCTATTTTGATATCCTCATCCGTTGGTCCACAGAAGTTTCCGTTGTCTCTTGAAGTACATGCAAACACAATCTTTCCGCAATTATGGTCATCATGAATTCCAACCTCCCTCAGATTAATCTTGGAAGAAACTTGGTCAAGAAACAATAGATAGCTCTTGTTCTCCAGCTCTTCAGATATCTTTGCTGCTCTTTTGCCTGTGCTGGACTTTTTGTCAACCGGTAGGCCTAACTGATCCTCGAGTACCCTTTGTATCTTTTCCACGCATTCCGCGTTGTCCATAGTAACCCAAAAGATAACTTCAAATTGACTTGTTTGACCAACTCTATCATGCAAATTTTCCATCACTGTTGTTTTTCCAACTCCAGGCGGTCCCCATATGCAAACTCTCTTAAACTCATCTTGTTTCAGCAAGTCTTGAACAATTTCTACATGCCTATTAAGTGATGGAAGATCATCTATTTTCTGGGCATGCCTATTTCTAAATCTGTCAGGTGGTGTTGGTGCGCTCTCAGTCATTATCGGGTTCTCAAGCTTTATTTGATCTCTCAGGGAAACTAACTCTTTTGTCTCCTTCACTACATCTCTTCCAAGCCTTAGCAGAGAAGGAAAAGGACAGAGTCCACACAGATATTTGTTGATGCGTCTGTACTTTGTCTTCAGATGTTGGATTTTGTGCTTCTTTTCATTGACCCGTTGAAACCAATTTTCGCATTCATTTGTGATATGCATTCGACCAACATTTGCAGCCAGCACATTATTCACATCTGCCTCTCTATTCTGCAGACGCATTTCTTCATTCTCAAGCTCCTTGAAATTCTTCCCCAAGTTTCTCACATAATCATATTTGCGTTTCAAATAGGTGAACATCCACACGCCACATTTTGCAGCTGGCTCAACCGTTTGCCCCACAGCTTGTGCACCTGCTGTCACCTCAAAAGCCATCCTTTTCGAATATAAAAACGAAATGCATATCAATGAAAACTGTTTATTCACTATATTTTGACAATACATGTTCAATCAAATACAAAATGACTATTACTGGTGCCATATTACAGGTTTTTCTATTGATGCAAGATTCAATGAAAGCTTGTTACAAATGGATGTGGACTGATCAACACTTGCCCTCAACATGCATATGCTAAAATGCACAGACAAAACAATAATCTATGTCCATAATTCCCATAAAATGCTTAAGGTTCCATTTGGATGAAAGAATTTCGATATGATATTTTAGTGTAAATTGCTTAATTATTAAATTTTAGAAATTAAATTTTTTTTTTTTAATGGTTAATATAATGCACATGGAAAAACTCAAACTCAAACCGAAATTCATAATTCTAAGCACAAATTTTTATTATTTTCTAGAATCTAAGCCCAGTTTTATGAACATAGGCATATCAACAATAAGCACACCTGGATAGGAAATCTGCTTGGTTGGTCCTCTGAACGTTGTGCTTGCTAGGTAATGAGTTCTCTTCTCTGCTACACCTCAAGTCAAGACTCAAGAAAGCTGAGTCTTCTCGTTTTCAACGGAAATGGAATTTTTCACTCTAACCAAAGTCAACGACAGGACAACCTAGTGCTGCAGAGCCCACAAGTCTCCGTTTGGTTTTATTTATTTATTTTATTTTATTATTGTAAAAAATAAAAATTTGATTTATTTTATCAAAATCTAGAGTGAAAGGGTAAAAGTTTCTGGAGAAGAAATGAAAATAACTTTTGGCTTCTTTGTAACCAGCAGACGTTGGTTCTGCAACTTGCATTGAATCTAGGAATCAATGCTATGCATATTCCCAAATTAGTTGTACCTTAATCTTGATCTAATCACCCACAATTAAGATAAACCCAATCATTAGAGACAGAATGAGATGATTAAAAAATATGTAGTAGGAGCAGTCACTCTCAATGCTTTAGATAATTCTATGACGATATGAGGAAGCAACTTCCCTAATAAGCCATCAGAAAGAAGAGTTACTCTCAATGCTTTACAATAAGCAACAGAAATAAGAGTTCATCTCAGCTTACCCCATAACAAATGCTGTTTATACTAACAAATGTTCGTCGTAAAATTCTTTCAACTGATAGATCATAAAACAGTATTTCATTTCAAGAAACCTATTTGAATACGGCTGCTTCGAAAAGCTTCTCCTTTACCTCTTTCTGCATCATTTGAAGTAAAAAAAAATTAAATAAAAGAAACGGTGACTTTCCAACTTGCAGGCACAGAAAATTGGCAAATCAGAGTTGGGGAAAGGGTGTCCGCCCTGCTCACCATTAGCAGTCATTACCTGTTGCTGTCCATTTTATAGGAAGAAAATGGACTTACTTGATTGACTGAAGGAGGAATGGTAGCAAAAGACAGTAAAGTTTCAATCTTTTTGCTGGAGAAATTGCTGACTCCAATTGATTTGGTGAGGCCAAGTCTCTGAGATTCTTCCTTGGCTGCCCACACACCCTTGAAGTCCATTGCATAAGGTCAACTGATGGGTTAGTGGATGAGATACAGGTCCAGGTACTCCAATGGAAGATTTCTGCACACATAATCATATAATCAAACAAAACCAGTCACCCCAAAATTCCAATTGCTTGAAAGAAAAGAAAACCCAAACTAGATTGTGAGATTTTGAGATTTTGAGATTTTGAGACTCACTCAAGTGATTACTTGAGGGCAGCACAAGTGGGAGGAGCCAAGCACTACCTCTGGGATTTTGGCTGAAGAAGCAGCATTTGCCATCTTTAGTTTCTTATCTTTGGAAATTAGCTCAAGTTTTTTGATCAAGTATTCAAGTCTGGTTTATATTTTTCATCAAGTGTAGGTGCTTTTAAACTGCTAGATTTCAGTCAATGCTTGGCTTATTATTATTAGACAAGAGAGCCATGCACAAAATGTATACACTTGAAAATAATTAATGGATTCTATCTACTCCTAATTTTGATTGAAAAATAATATAACACTTTGTGTTTTGCTATAAAACAATTAATGAGCCAAGCACCACCTCTGGGATTTGGGCTGAAGAAGCAGGCACCATTTGCCATCTTTAGTTTCTTCTCTTTGGAAATTAGCTCAAGTTTTTTATGAAGTATTGAAGTCTGGTTTTTAATTTTTCATCAAGTGAAGGCGCTTTTAAACTGCTAGATTTCAGTCAATTCTTGGCTTATTATTATTAGACAAGAGAATGGTCAATTGAACTCTCCTACTACGAGGCTGTGCATTGACTCATGGTCTTGAAATACATCAACCAGATCATTGATTCATGGTCATTATCAATTGTGCAACTCCAAAAGTGTTTAAAATCAATGCTCAAAGAATAAACATTGTGAAAAGGTTCATTGATTCATGGCCATTATCAATTGTGCAACTCAAAGCCTCCTTCACCAATCTTCTTTTTTCCTTCTTGCCTGCATAATTCTTCAAAAAACTTTGCATGCTTATAGCTCCAGTACAATGGAGGGTGTTCCTCGTCAATCAAATCCTCAATTGGACCAATCACCGTGTCCTTGCTGGGTCCATAGAACATTGCTAATGACAACCTTGGCTCAACTTTGTTGGCCACTGCCCTGTGGTGCACGCTCTTATACCTTCCATTACGCAAAACCTACGTACAAGATACACAAATTCAAATCAAATTTCAATGAAAGTCATTTTGGTCCCTGTAGTTTACTCCTCTACGTGAGGTGCACGTGGTGGTGACGTCGTGAAAGAAATTGACGGAAATTATGACCTGTCCTTGAATTGCTACAATTATGAAACTATGAGAGCACAATTGACCAAATTGAAACAACACGGATGAAAGTGGAAATCAGAGTCACCTAGATTGATAACAGAGGCGATTGGGAGAGGATCAACAGCAACCCATTTCTCATCTTTGATCATTACTTGAAGGCCAGTCACTCCCTCTGTTTGCCTTAGTATTGTGAGTGCATTGAGATCAGTATGGACAGATAGTCCAAGTGTGAGCTCAGGGTCAGGACATGGTGGATAGTAGTTTCCTTCTGCTTTTTGAGTAGGATTCTCACCCAATTTCTTCTGTAAGCAGTCCTACTCTGGGCCAAGCCCTTGGGATATCAATCCCAAAAGCCTTTTAACCAATGCACCAATCTCCTTTTCACATTCAGCAAAAACCTCACTAAAACCAAAAACCCAAACATAAAAATGAGCACAAACTACAAAATAAGCTCAAGAAGCTCTGAGATCAAGCTCCCTGAGATTGGTTTGATCGCCAATTGATTCAGGAAGCTCTGTCAAGTCACTGAAATTGCTGGACAGGTTGAGCACCTCAAGAGTTGTCAGTCTCCCAATTGCATATGGCAGCCCACGAAGCTCATTGAAATGAACATCTAGATATCTCAGTGACCTCATTTCACAGATGGATGGAGGAAGGGAACGGATTTTATTCAAGTGGATTGAGAGCATTTCGAGATTCAGTAGCCCATAACCAATATTTGTTGGTAAACACATCAGGTTGTTAAAGCTTGCATCATTGTCGAAAAAGTTGTTTTGAAAACCGTCACAAAGTGAGAATTGCAGGAAAGGAAGGAAACATTACCCGCCAAGAACAGAACACATGAAGAACAGATGGGACAAGTGGAAAAAGAAAATTTGAGACGTTATATGGGTTTCTACAGAATATCCCAGTTTCAATTCTGACAGAAACAGGAACAAAAAACCAATTAACACTCAAAAATAGTTAAAAAAAACAGGTAACTTATAAAAATTTAGAGACAAAAAATAACATTAGAGAAAGAAAATGGCATACTTGGACATGAAGCTGCAGTGTTTGTGCCTGATAACCTGCTATATGACCTCGTCGTCGTCGTTCTGCATTTTTAATCAAACACTTTCGATTTCGATTTTCGCTGAGCGGTTGACCGCAACGGACCGAGTGTATTAAAAATAAATAAATAAAATTGATGGCGCTTTGATTTGATGTGCTGGGGAAGAAGAAGAAAATTAGGGATATGAAAAAAGACCAGCAAGCTTTGGGCTTGCCATCAAGTTTTGGGCCAATGGCCCAATATCTTTTTTTATTTTGAACTATGAAATGGCCCACCATCCAAACTCATTTTGGCCCCAACCCATCACCATAACTTCTATTCTATCTATCTATCTACCTATCCAAAAAATTATGTGGTACATTGATGGTATCGGTGCAATCACTTATCCAAGGCTGAAATTGGATTTTAAAAATCAAGGGCTGAGATTGAATGACCTGATGACTTGTTCAGTCATTTCTTATTGAACTTCACGCGAGTCACATGTGACTGTGAGAAAGGAAAAGAGATCCAGACTCACGCGCCGGAGGTCGTCCACGAGAAAACCTAAGACGCTCGCAACTGTCTACCTCATCCAATCCTAAGCAAGGTCCTCCAACTCTTCTCTCTGCTTGCCCAAAACCCATCTGCAGAAAGCTAGAGTTCATAGGCAAAACGTCACCCAATTAGGCTATGTCTTTCTTACCAGGGCTTCCATTTCATCTAATGCTCACCGAATTGAGAGGTATTTAGTTTGATTTGTTCGAAGTGTCAAATGATGCCATTAAACATAATTAAAAGATTTTTAAAAAGAAAAAAAATTAAAACACGTTGAAAACCATTACCCTCACGACGGAAATTTCAAAACTCACCACCATCTCCAACACCACCACCTCACCTCCACCATCACCACCACCACTAATACCCCATTCTCCCATCACCACATGGCTAGCACATAACACTTTCAACATTATGTCCATTTTAGTCATTATCCCCAATGTTAGTGTATAAGCTATGAACTAATTAAAGCTTAGCTTAAGAAATGCCTTGTAATTATGTGTGTATCCACTTTGGTAATTAAACCAAGTGTAAGGCCCTTATTGTAACTTGTCCAAGTGACATGTGGAGAGTGATCCATTATTTTAGTGAGATGAGAGGCTGAGATTGTTTTCACATTGGAAGCATTGAGCATCACTCTGTTATGCACAGTGAGAGAGTTTTGTAAGAAATACGCATACATTCTCTGCTACTTGCAGAGCACAGTGAAATATAGAAGAAACCATTTTCTGAAATTGCTGAGTTATTAATTTTCTTTTCCTTTCTTCTTCAGTAAGATAATACACTGAGAATATAAAACTTCAACATGGCCTCAGAGCTAGGTTCGATCAATTAAGATCTGGGTGTAAGAAATTGAGCTCCACTCAAGATTGGTTGAGCTCGGGCGAAGTTGCAGAAAGTTCATAAAATCAGATTTCGACTTGTGATTCGTTTCATCTAAGCTAAGAGATGGCTGGATCTAGAAGTTCTGAGGTGAGAACTCCGATCTTCTCCGGTGAGAATTACGAATTCTGGAGAATCAGAATGATGACGATCTTCAAGTCTCATGGGTTATGGAAATTGGTTGAAAAGGGGATTTCGACCTCAGATCCAAAGAAGAAGAAGGCTTAAGGAAGCTCAGAAGAGGAAGTTGATGAGAAAACAGCAGCTGCTTATATGCAAGATGCTAAGGCTCTGGGCATTATTCAGACTGCGGTTTCAGATAAGATTTTCCCACGAATAGCTAATGCTGAAACAGCAAAAATGGCTTGGGATTTGTTGTATGGAGAATATCATGGTGGTGATCAGGTGAGGTCTGTAAAACTACAAAATCTGAGGCGTGAATTTGAGTATGCTAGGATGAGAGATGATGAAACCTTATCTGGTCATTTGACTAGGCCAAATGACTTAATAAACCAAATGAAAACATTTGGTGAGCTTCTGTCTAATGAAAGACTTGTCCAGAAAGTGTTGATTAGTCTTAGTAAACCATATGATCCTATATGTCTGGTTATTGAAAATACCAAATGTTTGGAGACTGTGGAATTGCAGGAAGTTGTGGCTATTGTTGCTTCGATTCAGCTGCACCAAAATAGATTCAGCTGCATCCTCAACTTGTGATACTCGCAAGTGCACGAGCCGTTTGGTAGTATAGCATATGTAAGTGCGAGGTCGATCCCACGAGGATTGGTGATTGAATGATCCAATTTGTTTCCCCTACACAAAATAGAAATGAAAAAGGAAATAAATAAAACAAGAAAAAAAAAGAAATAACTCAAGCAAATAAGTTCCCAAGTTCAATTAGATTAACGGATTGATTCTAGCTAAAGTATGATTAAGCCATGGTGTTTGGTCAAAACCTTGTGTTCCTAATTCCCTAATTTGATCATTTGTTGTCTAACCTAAAACTAAGCATTAGGAACCCATTAAGCATAGAAGAACAATTTAAACAACCAAGCATGTATCTAATCCCTGTTGTCGAATGTCCATACATACTCTTCTTATTCATAGTTCAATTCGAATTAAAGCATGGTGTATACTCTTAATTCAAACCAAAATAGCTAACATGCAAGCCTAAATGGTGATCAATCATTCAAACTAGCATATTAACTTATAAGCATAATGAATAAGAACAAAAACCATAATTGAAACTTGGAAACTAATTAAACTTGAAACTTAAGAAAGAATGTACATTACAATGAAAAGTAAAGTGAAACTAAGAAAAACTTAATCAGAATTTCAGAATTTCATTACAACAATTGAAAACTAGAAAGGAAACTAAGAGAATTTGAGGGAGAGAAGGAAAGGGAGATCTAGAGAAGTGTTTGAGAGCTCCCCCCCTTGGGATGTGTTTTGAAGCTTGAAGGCTTCTCTATTTATAGGGCTAAGAGGGAGAAACATCATGATGGATTCCCACACCATCCTTCATATTTTGCTGCTGCACCTCAAGCATCTTCACATGGGTTCAAATGGGATCAGTTGTGGCTGCCTTTGCTGCCAACCCATGAGGTTGCCTTTTGGTTGCCAACCCATGTGGTTGCCTTTTGCTTGCTGAAAAAACGATTCTTCTGAACCAGACTTGGTGTAGGAAGGCCAGAGGTTTCAAAACGTATCCAATGGGGCTCAAATTTGGATATGTTATACTAGACACCCATTGGAACAACCTCTATGAAGAAAGTATTCCCATCGGAGCAGTAGAAGTATGCGTTTTGGCCCTTGCAAGTTGGCTGCCGAACAGAGACTGGAATTGACTTCATTTCATCTTTTCTTTCCTTTTTGATTCACATGCATGCACATGCTTCCTCTTTCAATTAAAACCTGATTTCCAGCTCCAAAGTGAGCTGCCAATTCAATTCCCATGTTCAAAGGCTGAAGCAAAATGCCTCTCATCATCCTCATCCGAGTTGTGCAGATTGCTGAAATGAGACCTGCAAGGTGACTTACGAAACTGGACTGACAAGAAGTGTGGCCCAACTTTGGTTTTGTCTTTAAGCTCTTGCTCTTTGCCAATCAGCCCTTAACATGCATGGATTGCATCAAATGTGATCTCTTGCTATCTTAACCTACAAAACACACAAATAGAGGTAAGTGACTCAAAATAAAGAGAAACTAAGCAAAATCAATAAGTAAAGAAGGCAAGCAAGTGTATGAAATTATGGACTTATCAAAACAGAAAATGGATTAAAAGCACAAGTTTAACTCAATAACATAACCAAATCATAAGCTAGAAGGGTACAAAATGATATACAATTATGAACCGATCAGCTATTTTGAAAAGTCAGGAACAAAGGTTTGATATGCATAATGTGGATACCACTGAAAGGGCATTTGCCCCTCTCTCTCTCTATGAATTCAAAGGGGCAGCAAAGCAAAAATAACCCTCAGTCCAGTGGCTCTAAGTCTCAACAGAATTGGAATTCTAAGGGGAAACCATGGGAGTCGAAAGGAAAGTCTCAGCAGAACAATTTTGCACCAAATCACAGATTTAGTTCACCACAGTAGACAAATCAAGATGCTGCTAAACCACAATGCAAGGCGTGTTCCAAATTTCACTTTGGTGAGTGTCGATATAAGGGGAAGCCTAAATGTTTTAATTGTGATAGATTTGGACATTTGGCTAGGGAATGCACAACATGTAAGGCTACTGAAAAGGCAAATTGTGTCAATCAAGCTGAGATGACTGGAAATCTGTTTTATGCTAATAGTGTTACCACTGAAGTGAAAATTAATGGGAATTGGTACATTGATAGTGGGTGCAACAACCATATGACTGGAAATGCTGAAATACTTATTGATATAAGGACAAATGTCACTGGCAAGGTACAAATGCCTATTGGACACTTGGTGGATGTTGGAGGCATAGGCTCATTGGTGATTGATACAAGTACAGGCAAGAAATACATCAAGGAAGTCATGTATCTACCTGGTTTGAAAGAAAACTTGTTGAGTGTTGGGCAAATGGATGAGCATGGGTATTATCTGCTCTTTGGTGGTGGTATGTGCTACATTTTTTATGGACCTTCACTTGATAAATTGGTTATCAAGGTCAAGATGAAAAACAACAGGTGCTACCCTTTATCTTTAATGCAAAACGGTGATTGATACAAGTACAGGCAAGAAATACATCAAGGAAGTCATGTATCTACCTGGTTTGAAAGAAAACTTGTTGAGTGTTTGGCAAATGGATGAGCATGGGTATTATCTGCTCTTTGGTGGTGGTATGTGCTACATTTTTTATGGACCTTCACTTGATAAATTGGTTATCAAGGTCAAGATGAA